CAATTGCTTTTTATTTTTTTAATTAATATAATTATTATTAATATTTTTTATTTATTTAATTTTAATATTATAAATAAAAATATTATTTTATTTTTTTTAATTTCTTTAGGCATGCTTTATTTTATTTAATAAATATATGATTTTGCTTTCAAAAATATTATTTTTAAATAAATTGAAATAATAATTATTAAATAATAAAAACAATAAAATTTATAAAAAAAAATAAAATTTTAATCACAATTAATAAATAATAATAAAAAACTTATAAAGAGATAAAATAAAAATGGACTTCTAATAATATTTCGATTAAATTAATATTGATTTATAAGATTTTTCATTAAATAATTTATAAATAAATCCTCAAAATGCGAGTCCCTCTTCACATTATTATTAAAATTAAATTAAAAAAACATAATTTGCTTATTCTTCACCTAAAAAATCTAACGATTTATATATTGATGAAAATTATTTTATAGATGCCCCTAAAATAAAATTCTTTAATTTTTCATAAGAAAATAACGATGATAAGGAAAATTAATAACTTGAAAATAGAAAAAATAAATAAAGTGATAAAGTATTATTAATATTATATATATATATATATATATATATTTGTTTATTTTTTTTTTTTTAAAAAAAAAAATATTTTAATGAAGTTTAATTTCAGAATTTGTTTTATGAAAAAAAAAAAAGATTTTACTAAAAAAAAAATTTTTAGATAATAATTTTTATTTTTCTTTAAAAATAAATGTTTTTAATCTATTATACTATAAAATAATAATATTAATGAAAAAACGATATATAAAGACGAATAAATTATTTATTTATATATTTACTCTAAAAAAAATAATTTTATTTACTAATACTAATATAAAATAATAAATGATTTTTTATTTATTTTTAATATATTTCTTATAGTTAATTTTTTTTTATAATAAAATCAAATTAAATAATTATATATTAAAATTAAAAATATATAAATATGAGAATTAAATAAATATAATAAAATTGTTTTAAAAAATTAATATATATTAAATATTAATATATTTATAAATATATATATATTTATATAAATCTATATATATATATATATATATATATCATTTATTTTATTTTTATATATTAAATAAAATATTAATTAAATAGCTGTTATTATTAACTTGTAAAAATAAACAGACTAAAATAATTATATTGTATTATGATAACTAACGAAACTAAAAAAAAAATTTGCAATTTTTTTTAATTATAGCAGATATAGAAAAACAAGTAGAATAAGCTAGATTTACCTTATCTAAAAGTTAAGATTTTGACCCATTAGAAATATTTAATTAAATTTCTAAAGGTAAAGATTTTATAGATATTATTGATTTAAGTCAATTTTTGGAAGAATACTATATAAAAAACACAGAAGAAGAATTAAAACAGATATTTTTTATACATAATAAATAATACAAACATATGTCTTTTACAAAGTATTAAAGAAAAATACATATATATATATATATATATATATATATATATATATATATATCATTTTTTATATACTAAAATAAAAATAGCTATCTTAAAATGATTTTACCTAATAATTGTCATTTTTTGAGATAATTAAAAGTTGATATGACAATAAGAAAAGGAAAAAAAATAGAAACAAAATATGATTAAGAAAATAAAATTGTTCGTATTTTAGAAAAGGAAATTTAATTTTTAAAAATAATGGAGAATAAGAAAGAATAAATCATTAAAAGTTGGGATTTTCGTATTAATACTGTTTTTAAAATTCTGGCTGGATAAAAATAATATATTGAACATAAAGATATAAAATATTTTATTGAATAATTGAACTAAAATGCTACTAGTGATGATATTTTGAATATTTTAAGAAGATTGGATATTGATGGAGATACAAAAGTTAGTTTTTAAGATTTATAATAATCGTTAATTCCTTTTAAAAAATAAAAAATTAAATTAATAGATGATAATGAAATTTAAAGTTAATTAATAGATAAAAAAGTATAAAATAAATCAATTTTATAAAATAAAGAAATTTTCTAAAAAAAAAGCTATTTTTTAAAAATAAAGAAGTTCTAAAAAGTAAAGACTTAAATAGAAATAAATCAGAAATAAAGAAAAATGAAAATTTTAAAAAAACTATAAAAGATAATATAAAAAATATGTAAACAACTTTTATTAATGATAAACCAATAAAATAATAAGATAAAAAACTTGTCGAAGATTTAAAAAAAAAGTTTGGTTTGGAAAAAGGAAAAGCTTTTTTTTTTGAAAACTAATAATCTAATTAATGTGATTCTCCTTAAAAATTATGTAAAAAACCTGAATAAAAAGAAAATTCGATTAATTTAGAAAAAAATAGAGATAATTTTAATAGAAAATATTTAAATTATACTAAAAATAATAGGATAAGTTCTTAAAATTCTATCAGAAGATCAGTTCATTATTTTCTTAATTTTTATGAAAATACAAATAATAAAAATGAATAAAAGGAAAAATATTTGTTTAAAAACTAAAGTTTTTGTTGCTTATAGAAAGAAGAAGAAAAATAAGAGGTTTTAAAGTAAAATAGAAATAAATATATTTTATAAACTAATAAAACCTAAAATAGTGGGTAATTTAGTTTTTCTTATTTTTTTAAAGATTAATAAAAATTAGAAAATTAGAAAAATTAATAGGAAAAAAACAATTAAAAAATATAAGAAAAATAAATTATTTAATATAATGATAAATAAGATTTTTAATAAGGAAAATTTTAATTAGAAACAAATCAAAATTAATCATTTTAATATATTGAAAAAAATTATATTTAATAATAAAAATTAAATCCTTTTTATTAGTAATAGTTTAATTAAAAATCATTTTCTTAATCTTAAGAAAATTTGTAATAAAATGTTTAGAATTTCTAATAATAACATATATAGTAAAAAAGTTAATATATTAATACAGATTTTATGGTATAAAAAGGTCATTAAAAATTATAATAAATAAATAATTAATAACTTTCATTAAATGACTGTTAAGACTGTTAAAAAAAAAACTTATCGAAATAAATAGATTATAATCCACTACTATAAATATAAAGATAATAATAAATTTCTGAAGATAACTCTTAAAATAAATAAATTCCTTAGTTTTAAGATCAACAAAAATAATTTTGTAAATTTTAAATAGAATAAAAAATATAAAATAAACACAAGGAAGAAAAATAAAAGTTATAAGAAGAATTTAATTTGTTACTTTTGTAAGAATAGACTATATAAAATCAATAAGAAATAGAATAAATTAAATTTAAAAAAGAAAATATTTAAAAATAATAATAAATGTATTTTATTAAAATTTTAAAGACTATTATTGAAAATTAAAAAGAAATCGAAAATATTAAAGAAAATTTATCTATGAGAGCTGATTTTACACTTGGTGATTTTTATAAAATATTAAATTTAAAAGAGAATGAATAAATAAATAAAGTTCAATTTCAAAATTCCTTATTTCATATAGATATTAAAGAAGATTTGGAAAATATTATTTTTTTGTTTTCCTATATGAATGAAAAAAATAATTAAATAAGGTATATTAATATATAAATATATTTATAAATATATATATATATATATATTTATATATATATATTTATTTTATTTTGATTTTATTTTTATTTTATTTTTTTAGTATTGATAATATAAATAATTTAATTATTCCCATGTCTGTTGACCATGCTAATATTTTAAATAATAGAATTCCTTTTTCTTATCATAATTAATATGTTAGATAAAATATTTTTTTAAAAATTTTAATTTATAAAAAAAAATAGAATAGTTAAAGTACTTTTACTAAAAGTATTTTAGAATAACTTATAAAATAAGTAATTTAAAGCGAAAAAAATATATAAAAAATGAAACTAAACTTAGTTTAAAATCAATAAAAAGATTAAGTTTTCGAAGAAATTTATTACTTTATAAATAAAGAACATAAATAAGTGATAAATATATAAGATTTTAAGTAATTTTGTTATCAAAATAATATTTGGATACTCGAAAGTGATATTTAGTAAATATTTAGGTATTTCGATAGAAAATAAAAAGGTAATTTTAATTTGGAAGATTTTAAATTATAGATGTTATAAAATATATAATGATAAATTTTATTTAATTTTCTTTTTTTCAATCAAAATCATCTTTATATTCTTTGTCTTAAAATTCATTATTATTATATTTTTAATCATAATCACTATATTAATCTGATTTTCTCCTTTTATTAATTAGATTATTATTATTTTCAGCTTTTATTTATATATTTTAATCATTTTTTTTTTCATATATGTCTTCTTCGAATTCTTATTCATAATAATTACTATCAATTGACTATTATATATTTTAGTTTGTATTCTTTTATTCTAATATATGTTTTTTTTCTTAAAAATCATTCTTTATTTTGTTATTTGTTTAATTAATGCTTTTTTAAAAATTATTATAAGAATTTCTAATTTTTTTATTACTAATTTATTTTTCCTCTTCTTTTTTTTTAGCGATTATTATTTTAGGAACTGATAATTTATCAATATTAGGAACTGATTATTTTCTATTTTGTTCTTAAAATATTTATTATTGCTCTTTTCGGTGAATTTCAACGTAGTTTTTCTTTGGTTCTAGATATCTGGATAGTTATCCTTTTTATTTTGCGATACTTTTATCTAAACTTACTTTTTTTTTTATGACATTCATTAAGGAAAGATATAGAGGATTTTTTTTGCGAATCAATTGTATTTTTTGAGAACTTTCGTTTATTCTTAATCTACTAATTAGAAAATTTAAATCATTGTTAAATTCATATTGTAAAATATTTAAGGCTTCCTTTTTATTTAAGACAAGAGTATATATTTGTTTATTTACATTTTCTAAAGTTATTGTAAAATTTCTATTTTTTTTATTAATTTTTATTTTTTTAATATAATATATACTCTTCTTATATTCTTATTTCTATATAGTAAGGAATATCATTTATTATATATGTTTTTTACATTAAAGGAATATTAGTTTTTTAAATTTTAATTATAGGACCAAGTTTTATACCTTATAAGGAATTACTTATAGTTAATTAAGGACTTACTTATATATTTTATGAATGAGATTGCTATTTTATTGATTTCAAAGGGTATTCCGTTAAAAGGTTTTAATATTTTTTAATTTATTTATAATCTTCATTAAGTTTCTTTAGGTCACAAAAGCTTTTTATTTAAGTAATTCTTTTTAACATATCTATATTTTATTCGTCTATTTACATTAATCGTTATTTTTATTTATAAGTTTCTTAAGATCCTTATTTTAATTAAGAAAAATAATTTATATTCTATAAACTAGATATGTTTTAGTTTCCTTTTGTAATACTTTTGATTCGTTCGAATATTTTTTCATTTTCGTGTTTAATTTTTTATTCTACTTTGACTTTATAAGGTTTTTTTTATAACAAATATTTATAACAACTTGGAGAGGAAACGTTTTTTATTAAACTTAAATTATTTGAATATTGATTATTTTGTTAACTCTTATTATGATTTTAAATTTTTTCAATCTAATTAAGTAAATTAGTGTTATTTATAATACTAAAGTTTTATTTCATTTTTTCGAATTCATATTATGAATGTAGTGAGTTTCTGTTTTAAATCTTTTACAAATTTTATTTACGTATTTTTACTTTTAATTAGTTGTCTAATCTTTCAATTATTTTGTTGGGAGATTTGAAATTATTTAACATTATAGAAAATATATTATTTTTGTATATATAAAAAATATTTATTTATTATTATATTATACTAATATTATATTTTACAAAAGAATTAAAATAAAATAATGTATATATATATATATATATTTATATATATAATTATATAATTTATAAAAAAATTATTTATATTTGTTTAATAATATAAATAATTTATTAAAAAATATAAAAAATATTTTATTTTTAAAAAACAATAAAAAGAAATATATACTTTATAAAAAAATACTCAAAGTTAATCAATATCAGTAAGATAAGCAACTCCTGGTAATTCTTTGCCTTCCAATAATTCCAAAGAAGCACCACCTCCAGTAGAAACATGGCTTACTTTATCACTAGCTTTTTCACTTCCGACAAGATTAACAGTATCTCCACCACCAATGATGGAAATAGATCCTTTTTGGGTTCTATTTACAACTTTATTTAGTAAATCAGAAGATCCCTATTTGAATTTAGGTATTTCAAACATGCCTTAAGGTCCATTCCATACAATAGTGTTAGCTCTAGACACAGCTTCTGCATTAAATTGCATAGTTTAAGGACCAGCATCCAATCCCCACCATCCATCAGGGATTCCAGACTTAAGATCAAAGACTTTAGTATCGGCATTATTATCTAAGGCATTTCCGCATAAGAAATCAACAGGAAGGTGTAATTTAACGCCTTTATCTTTTGCTTTTTGGATGAGTTTGTCAACTATTTTATAACCTTCTTCGTCAAAAAGACTCTTTCCAATATTAATATTGTGCATTCTTTTTAAGAAAGTGAAAGCCATTCCTCCTCCGATTATCATTTCGTCAACTTTGTCAATTAAATTGTCGATCAATTGGATTTTATCCTTAACTTTAGCACCTCCCAATATTACGAGGAAGGGTCTATTGGGATTTTCTAAGGCTTTTCCGAAATAATCTAATTCCTTTTTGAGTAAATAGCCCGAAGCACGGATTTTATGGTCTATTCCGACCATTGAAGAATGAGCTCTGTGGGCAGTTCCGAAAGCATCGTTTACGTAAAGCTCACCAAGACTGGTAAGCTCTTTACGGAATTCAGCAACTTTCTTTTTATCAGCTTTTATTTTGTTTCCTTAGGAGTCTTTATATTTTCCTTCCTCTTCGGGATGAAATCTTAAATTCTCAAGAAGGAATATTTGACCATTGCGGCCTTGTTAAACAGTTTCTTGAACTTCCTTTCCTACACAATCATTCAAAAATGTAACCTTTGTACCTAATAATTCCTCTAGTTTAGGAACTAAGGGCTTCAAAGAATGCTTTTCGACACGGTTACCATCGGGACGACCTAAATGAGACATTAATACAAGACCTTTAGGGTTACATTCGAGTATTTTCTTTATTGATGGTAGGGCACCTTTTATTCTGGTAGGATCTTTTATTGCACCATCTTTTAAAGGAACGTTAAAGTCTACTCTCATTAAAACTCTTTTGTTTTCGATTTGTTTAAGAATGTGGTTGATACTGATTTTACGTGAAAGCATTTTTTTTTTTTAATCTTTTTATCTTTTTTTATTTTTATTATATTTAAATAATTATTTAGTTTTTTTTTTATTTATAAAAAAATAAAATAAACTGAATATAAAATCATTATTTTTTTTTTGTTAATAATATTTTTATTATTTATATTTATGTAGTGTGTGAAATAAATTTTAGACCAATATATCGGATATGACATGATTTATATTTCAATACATGTTTTATAAACTTGAGAAATAATAACTAAATCATAAAATGATTTTTTTTTAGTTTGAAATTAAGATTATTATAAATATTTTTTTAAAAAAAAGATTTTTTTTATAAAATATTTAAATATAAATAAAATTTGATATAATTTATAAAAATTTAGATTTTAATTTATTTAATTTTTATTTATATATTTATTATATATATATTTATCCGAAAAAATTCAATTTTACATAAATTATGGTTTAGGACTATTTTATAGTTTATAATTTTAATTTTATTATATTTGAATTTATTTATTTTTAATAAGACTAATTTAAACAGTTTTAGTCTATATTTTATTTTTTTCGTAGCTTTATTCTATTTTAAAGTAGGAATTATTTAAGTTGTCATTAATATTATTTTTCTAAAATATTTTATGTTACACTTGTAAAAAATCTTCTTTTTATTAATATTTTTATAAACCAAAAAAACATTGTTAAAAAATCATTTTTTTTTCGGTAATATTTATTATTATGAATTTTAAAGATTATATGTAAATTATTTATAATTATTTTAGGTTATACATTTATTGTTTTCTTAAATATTTTTCCTTTTTTTTATATTTTTTATATAACTACTGCAATAATCGTCTTCGTAATTATTTAAAATACTAGTATTTGTATTATATGTTTTTTATTTATAAGAAACCATTTTAATTTATTTTTATTATTATTTTTATAATTTACTTGCTAATTAATTCTAAACCTAACAGTTCATATTTTCTTAACTTCTAAAATTATAAATAGATTTACTTAAATTATTATGATCTTTATTATTATTATTATTACTATTATTTCCAAATTATTTTCTCCTTTCCGTAAATGCAATTTGCTCATTAAACATTATATTTTGACTTCTAAACGCTTTACAATCTTATATATCCACTTCTTCTATATATTAAGTACCCGTCTTGTTATTTTTTACCTCTTTTGTTTATAAAACCAACATATTTTCTTTCATAAAATTAATAATCTAAATAATATTGGAATCTTCTCTACTATTATTATGATCTCCCTTTACAAAAACAATACATTTTTTCCCAAAAGGGTATTCTTCATACAACTTAATTGAATTTTAACATGAAACAAGCTAGTCTTCTTTAGAGACTACAAAAATGCACGGAATTTTACACTCTTTTAAATTTCTTAAACAATCTACATCCTCAATGTCATACTATACATTATTTTTAATTTATCTCTTAACATATTCCAAAATCCCATTCACTAAAAATGATGGTAATTAGATTTTACGATTTATGATTTCAACACCTGCATTTCTAATACTTAAAAATGGACTATCTAAAGCTAAAACATTAACATTATTTTAAAATCTAAAAATATAAATAAATGTATATATAATAAATATTTACTTTTATGAATATAATAATGCAGTTACAGCACCCATTGATCTACCCCATAAACCAATAAATGGTATTTTTTTTCATTTTTAAATAATTTATTACTATATCTACATCATTTTATTCATAATAACCTAAAGAAACATATTCACCTTCGGAAAGTCCACATCCTGGAAAATCAAAAGAAAAAAACGAAAATCCTCTTTCGATTGCAAATTACACGTATTTTGCGCTTTCCATTCGCGAACCGTTTAATGAATGTAAATATACTATACAAGAATCATATACTTTATTAAATGGTTCATATAACGAACATCTTATTTCTTATTTACGAACGTTTTTTAAAGTAAAATCAGTACGCTTATATTGACATGAGTCATTGTAAAATATTGGTGATCCTACATATAAAAAAATATAGATATTAAAATTTATATATATACCTAAATCAAAATTTGAATATTATTGTCGTGAAGGTTTACAAAATAATTTCCAGAAATTAGTAAATTGATCAAATATATTCATTTTTTTAATATGAAAATATTTATAAATAAAAATAATTTCTTTACAATCAAAATTATAAAAATACTTGATATAAAAGAAAAAATATATACTGTAAATGTATATATATAATTATATATATATATATATATATATAAATATAATAAATATGTATATATTTAAAGTTATAAATAATTTTTTAAATTTATTTTTATTTATTTTTTATAGATTTTTATTTTAAAAAAAATATTTATTTCCTTATAAAATAATTAATCTTTTTTAAACTATTCTTAAAATAAATATAATATAAAATAAATATATAATATATATAAATCATATAATTTTTTTCTTTCTTTTTATTTCTGAAGACGTTGGTCTATCATGTTCTTATGGATTTTCTACTACTATTTCTGGATAAATAACATTTAAATTATTATTATTATTATTATTATTATTATTATTATTATTATTATTATTATTTTTAATATTAATATTATTACTATTATTATTAATATTATTTTATTTTTCTTTTATATTATTTTACTATTATTTTTATATCTTTTATTATATGGCTTCATTTGGTACAACTATAATGTTCGTATTGTTTTGCGCTATTTAAATTTATGGTAGTTTATTTTCATCTGTATTTTTTTATATTGAATCTATATTTTATTTTAAATTAACTAATTTATTATGTTATTGGTCTAATTTTTCCTAATTTTCTCCTAATTTTTAAACTAGTTATTTTATTTAAGTAGGAGACTATTATTATTATTATTATTAATTTCTTAATTTTTATCTTTTTCTAATAGCTTCAGCGAGTAATTTTTCTATTTTTTTCATTTCTTTTTTATATTTTTCATTTTCTCCTCGCAGCATATTACACTCTTCTATCAATTTTGTGTTTTAATTTAATATTGTATTAATATTTTCACCACGTATTTTTTTTAGTTTTTCTGATGTAATTTTAATTAAATGAAGTTTTTTAGTCATCCATTTTCCTTACCTTAATAATTCGTCATTTACTTCATTTGGTTTTTCTTATTTCATCTTTACTATTTCTTTTATATCATCATCTATTTATATATAAATATTAAGATATAAAACAATAATTTATAAAAAAATATATATATGTAATATAACAATAAAACATATATAATTATATATTATTTATATATATTTATATATACATTATTTTTTTATAAATTATTTACTTGTTATAACTTTTTATTTTTAGTATTTTTTTAATTCTTGATTATCTTTTGCTTTTTCTAACATTTCATATAGTTTTCTTCCTACAACAGTTACACTTTCTTAATTTTTCATTATACTTTATAATTACTATAATATAAAAATAAAAAATATATCTAAAAATCAAAAAAAATATAAATTTAATTACATTTTAAAATTAAGTAAGTTTATTAGTATTAAAAAATATCTCAACTTCTGATTTTTTAACTGAATTTTCGAGTACTTTAATTTCTCCATTAAGTTTTTTAAGTTTTTGATATTTCTATTCATTTTCATTAGATTCTTTAATAAGTTCATTAAACATATTTTTCAAATTCAACTCTTTTATTGAAATTTTATCTAAAAGAGTTCCTTTTTCCATCTATAAACTTCTTTTTTTTTAATTCAACATATACCTAAAGTTTTCCAAATTTATTTATTCGTCTTTTGCTGCTTTGCAAGTTTCTTCTTTCGAATCAATTACTTATAGTCTTTCTAATAATTAATGTTACATTTTTAATATATCTTAATCATTTTTGAGATTTTCCATTCTAATTTCATTGTGTTTTTTTAATTATTCGTCTATTTCTTTTTATTTTTATTCGTCTTCCTTTTTTAATGTATCATATTATTTAATATATTCTTAGTTTTTCTTTTCTAAATCTTCATTTACTTTTCTTATTTATTATATTTCTTCTTTTAATTCCTTTATTTTTTCATCGATTTCTTTCTCATATTCAATATCTTAATTATCCAGTCTTTCAATAAATTAATTACCAAATATTTTTGTATTATCAACTACATTAGAGTATTTTACCTAAACTTTTTGGCATTTTTCGTAAAAGATAAGCTTTGATAAACAAATTAATTTATGAAAATAATTTATAAAATATAAAATTTATATAAATATATATATATATATATATATATATATATATATATTATTAAAAATACTTTAAGTCGCTTTAAATCATCTTGATGTTATTTTAGTATATTTTTTAAATCTTCTTCATGCTATTATTTAACTCTCTCGATTTCATTTGCTAAATCTTGATTTCTTTTATTTTCATACTCTAAAAATATTAAATAAATATATTAAATATATATTTCTTATATATATATAACCAATTTTCTATTTATGTAATTCTTTAAGACTTTATATTTTTTCTTTATTATTTTCTTATTCATTAATATATTCTTCATATAACCTATTATATTCTTCATTAGACTTGGAAACAAAAGTATCTTTCATTTTCAAATCATTTTCTATACTAATTTTAAAATCCTTTACAATTAAAATATATTTAAAAAATAAAATATATAAATTAATACTCTATTAATAGTATCCATATTTTATTTATATTAATTATCTAATTTTTAAGTTTCAATTTTTTTGGTTTATTCTAATTTCACTACTTCAAACTATAATTTTTTCTTCTATTCATTTTTTTCAATAATCTTCGATATTTTTGCTAAAAAAAGATCATTTGCTGTCTATTCTATAAATTATTTATCTTCATTTTTTTAATTTCCTTATTATTATTATATATTATTTCCTTTTTTTTCTTCCAATTTGTTATTATTATTAATATTTTTATCTATTTTTTCTCCTTATTTAATATTATTATTTTCTATTTTTTCCATATTTTTTTAAATTTCCTAAACTGCCAATACAAACAATTATCCATCTTCATCTCCTGTAAATAAATACTAATTATCATATGAAAGTACTATACTAGTAATGGAACTAGAATGCACTGAAATTTCAAAAAAGTCAGGTTATTTTAAACTAACTTAAACCGAGTTTTAATTTGCTTATTCATACTCTAAAGCCTCGTCATCAATTGGCCAGACTGAAACCCTAATCTTCCCTTTATTAGTTCCCATAAAAATGCATTTATGTTTATTTGAAACTGCAATAGAAGTAATATAACAGTCTGTTACTGGAAATTCCGCGACTAATTTTTTTATTTTTTCCTTATTTTTATCCCTATATATGCATATATATTTTTCGTTTGAACACCCTATGAATAAGTTTGCATCCTCGCTATTATTATCCTCTTTTTTTAACACATTTAAGTCATAATATATGCAATTATAAATTGAATTTTCCTAGTGTTCGTAGGTCTTCGACATATTCTAGTTTGTTTCTAGAATATTCCAGCAGAAAACATACCCATTCATGCACGTAGAGACTATATATATATCATTACTGGCTATACAAATATCCCTTATTAAAGATGGATGTCCTTCTAGAATTTAAGTGGCTTCATAATATATAGTATCGTATAAAATAATCGCATTTTTTTCATTTGTGACTAAATAATGTCCTCCATGTGCATATTTAACAATCTTACAATTGGTTAAATTGACTTCTTTCAAAGGATATAATTAATCGTTTAAAATCGCGAAAATCTTGAAACCGTTATTGAAACATATGGAGATAAACATGCCAAAAGGATGCAAGGAAATAGACAAAGGCTCTTCTTTAAAATACTGACTAATGATTCCTTTTTTCTCCTAGTTTTCACTCTAGAAGTAATTCCAGATTTTTACTGTATTATCCTCAGAACATGTTGCGAAAATATTCTTTGTAATAGAAGTAGTTATACAGTTTATTTTTTTAAAATGAAATCCAGTACTAAAAAATGGCTATATAGGTGAAATCTCAGCATCTAATTGAAAAGTATTTAATTAATGATATGCAATACTCCCCACAGGTTCATATGAAGCTATTGTAATAATACTATCGTTACTAGAACTTGATAAATAGAATATTTTATGATCTTCATTATTAGCCATTTTCATTTCAAAACTCATAGTATTAATTATTTATTAATTTTTCTCTATATCATATATACATATGCAACCTCTGTTTCCACCTAATACAAAACCTCTTTTAGTTGAATTAATACACATAAATTCTAATTCTTATTTATTCATTATTTATTTAGGAGCATTCTAAATATATATATATATATATATATATATATATATATATATATATATATATATATATGTATATATATATATATATATATTGATATATTTAAATATACTTATAAATAATAATTATATATATGTATATAATTATATATATATTTTACTCTATCTACATTTTCTTCTTTGTTTCCACTATTTTTTATCATATCATCCATAACATTATTTATTCCGTAAATATCATCTATATCTTATTCTCCTAAATTAATTTGGTTTACATGTGCTTCAACTATATTTAAATTTCCGACTTCTATTTCTACAGTTCTTTTTAAAACATCATTTTATAAAATTAGAATTAGATTTCCTGCTGCCAATACTAAAAGCATTGGAGCGGCTGTAGTAGTTACCCATACATGGTCTAAAAAACGATTTTCTTTTTCAATTTTTAAAGGAACTAATGGATTATATGATTCTTTGAATTATTTTTCTTAAAAAAAAGCTTCCCACATTCGAAAATAATTTTAACCAGTTATTATAATCTATAAATAATATTATTATATTATACACAATTTTTATTCTTACATTTTAATGTTTTGTTGGATGCATAGAAAATTTAGACAAATTAGTTTTTACAGGCATTGAAGCTAATAGTTTATCTTTTTTGTAACTCCAAAAATCTAAAATAGGTAAATGAGAACCTCAAGGAAGTAATAATCCACAAGCATAATATTTATCAGTATTAATACACACTTGTTTTACGACACCTTTAAAGCCTTAATTAAGGACATGCCAAAATGTTTTTTTATCAGTTTAATATGTAACTACAATCTATATGAAAATAAATATTTTAATAAATATATATATATATAAATATATATATATATATATATATATATATTTATTTATTACCATTGCTGGTTTATCATCATTCATTGAAGATTCTCCTACTGCTATTATTATGCTTTTATTTTTTAAAAGTTATGCATTCATACATGTAATATTTTTAAAGCGATTTTCTTTTTAAATAAATTAATATTTTTTAGTTTGCAGATCTTTTATAACTATAATGTTTCCTGTACTAAATATAACTTAACCTTTATTTATATATATTAAATTTAATAAAAAATTTTTATACCATCACCAACTACTTGTAATTAATTTTAAATTTATCTACAATTTATTCCTAAAGCAGTATCAAATTATAACGAACAACCATTAACCATTTATCCACCTTAATATATTTTTTTAACTTACTATTTATTTATTCTTTAATTATATATTTAAATAAATTTTAAATTTTTTACTTCATTTCTTTTTTCTATATATTATTGAAATTTAATTTTTTCTTGTTCGTCTTCAAAAACTGATTATTCTATCATTTATTTTTTAATTTGATTTTTTTATTTTTCTTTTAATTATTTTATTTTCTTTTTTTAAATAAAAATTTATATGTATATTATAATATAAATGTTACAAACATTAATATATTTTAATAAAGACAAAAAAAACTAAAATAAAAACAAACAAATATTTTCAATTAAAAATTATTTATTTTTTTTTTTAAAAAAAAATGAAATTAATTATGTTTTTATATAATATTTAAAGCTCATTTATTAAATAAAATTACTAATTTTTTTTTTAGTTTCTAAAAAAAATTAATAATTATTTAAACTATTTAATAAGTTCTAATTATTATAAGAAATTAAATAAAAAAATAAATATTTTAAACTATCAAAAAAAAAAATTTTTAAATTAAAAAATTATAATTTACAGTCATCATTAGGATGAAAATTTGATAATAATATATAATAATGAATATAAAAAATTTAATTCAATTTTATATTAATGTTATTATTATTATTATTATTATATATTATTATTATTATTTTATATATTTATTATTTTTATTATTTTTATTTTTATTTTTTTTTATTTTACCTATAATTTTTTAATTTTTTTTTTTACTTGTTTTTATTTTATTTTATTTTTCTTATTTTTAGTTTATTTAATCATTTTTATTTATTTTACTCATTTTTATTTTATTTTAATCATTTTTATTTTATTATTTTATTTATATTTTTTATATTTTTTATATTATTTAATTTTCTTTATTTAACAAAACATTTTTATTTTATAAATTTTATAATATATTTTAATAATATTATAAATCTTTTTTTATTTTTTAATTATATATATATATTTTTTTAACTTAATTTAATAAAAAAAAAATCACATACATAACTTACATAAACTTTTAAATTTAGAAGAAATAAAAAATATACTTCACAATTTAGCAAAAAGCGGATATTAAGCTAAAACCGCATGTTTTGCAAATTCACTAGCAGTGATATTTTACGATATTTATTTTTTTAAGAATCTCTACATTTAATTTACTAATTCATTTAGCTATTCCTCATTAATAAGACAAATGACCTTTTCCCCAATCAATAGTCCGTTCTAATCTTTTTAACTAACTACCTATAAGAACTTCATTGCCTTAAATTTATGAATAGCATTTTTAATCACATCCAAAGAACAACTTTCATGATGTTATAAATACCTTTCATCATGCATACTTTCACAAAACCATTAAATAGACTATTAGAATTATTTTTAATCTACCTATTTTTGTTTCTAATTTAACAAAGTATACATATAAATCATAACCGACCAATAACTTTCAATAATTGGCATCACAAAAGTACAATAAAAGCCAATTTAATTTTCATCCAGAGCCTTCACAATATCATTATTTTCTATAGAAATAACATTAAACTACACCATTTTTTATAACAAAACATTTTTGAATTCTTCCTAATTTCTTGGAATGTTTTAAACCACAAATTCCTTATCAAAAAGATTAATTAAAAATTAAACTTCCTCCCACAGTCTTTTTGCACTAATTCCTTCTTAAAATGCAATATGAGATCCGAAAGCACTCAAGACTAGACAAACAATTGCCTCCAAAATGAAAATATGTATAATTCCATTTCTATAATAGTGTAACATAAGAACATTCTTATATTCAGTATCTGAAGTAAGCTCTACTTAGAAAATATTCTTTTTACTCTTAATCAAAATTCCTTTTAGAAGATTCAAAGCAGTTTTGACAACCTAAGAATACCCCATCATATCATTCGAGTTTGTTATATTTCCTCCCCTTTCTATTATTCTTTAACATAACCATTATACTTAAGTAATCAAAGCGTCTTCAGTGATTCCTTTTCTACATGAAAGTATAATAGAAGCCACTATACTGGTAGATGTACATACTAACTATGCAGTTTATTTATATTAAACTTAATAAGATAAACTCTAGACTACCTATTTTCTTTGGTCTTAACTTTAAAGATTTAAAGAAGGAAACTTATTTTACTAATACGCAAGTATACTTATCGGCTCACATATATGAATAAATATCTTCCCATAGTTTTAGTTTAGAGTTTTCAAAGCTTTTATAAGTCTCGGAAGAGATTCCTTTATTTTCTCCTCCCCTAATAATTCATAAGGGAAAGTATCACCTTCTAATACTTTTTCATAGTTCAATGTTATAGGAACTACTTTTGCATCTGGAATTCTCTAATCGAAAACTGCATCACATAAAATTCGCATAATACCATGTTTTGGTTGAAGCATTTTTCCACTTCTAGATCTAGTACCTATAAAAAAATAATTATAATTATAGATATATATATATATATATATTATTTATATATTTTTGTTTTTATACTTATATCTTTACATTTTTTTATTTTTTACCTTCAATAAAGAATTCTAACATACAATTTTCTTATAAAAGTAATTTAATATATTCATTAAAAATTGCTTTATAAATAATATTATTTTTTGAATTTCTTTTCATAAAAAAAGCACCATTAGCCCTTAAAATATGATGGACAATTTAAACATTTAGGAAATCTTCGGAGGCGGCAATATGTGGTGCTTATAATTTATAAGCAAAGAAAATATAAGAAACGAGTAGAAAATCTAAATATGATCTATGTGTGGGCATCATTATTAGAGGTCCATTTTTAATAGTATTATAATTTTAAAGCAGAAGTAATTATTTATCATCAATAACAATTTTTTCATATATTTATTAAAAGAGCTTTTTTAAAAGCCAGCCCATCATTCTAACATAAGACATTTAATAATTCGAAACCATTTATTTTATAATATTCTCAACTTCCTTATTAACTTAATTTATAATAGAGTATTTTTTCACTTATTATTATTAAGATTTTTATTAGATAGTTTACTATATAGCATTCTATACAGAAATTGAGTTTATTAATAGAAGTCTATATTCTTAAAAACTTTTAGTTTTAAAGTTTTTACCAGAAGTAAGAGCCCAGTTAACATCGGAAAAATAGGAAAGCGAATTTATTGTATAACTATTAATATTTAAAATATTATTTTTATTAGAAAAAGGGGGATCTATATGTTCATTTAATATAAATCTTTAAATACCCCAATTATACATAAGGAGATATTATTCCCAATTAATTCTGGAGACGTCCAAATAAAACATATCAAGTTCTTCTTTTTATAATTATTTAGCTAAATTATCAATTTTACTAGTATCGAAAATAAATTATCTAACAACAAAAGGTTTAAACATATCACTTATATTTTCAGATTTATAAACCATCTAAAAAATAATTATGTATAAATAAATATATAAATATATAAATATATAAATATATAAATATATAAATATGTAAATATATAAATATACATATTTATATTTTAATAAATATTTTTTTATATATTTTTATAATTTACATTAACAAATCTTGCCGCATTTTTTTTCATTTAACTATTTCCAAAAATACTAGCAATTCTTTCAAAAGCATGTGCTTATATTCTTCTTTTATATTTATAAAATTTTAGTTATTATTAATTTGTAATAAGTTTAACACTAATATTTGATACTTATTTTTTAGAAGGATTATTTTTCCAATAAAGTGAACATTATTTATGTGTTAATTTCCATTCTACTGGGTTTTTGAAAGAAGTTCCACAATTCATCACATTAACACTCTAATTCACTGCATATAGAGCACTAGACACTATAATTTAATCACTAACACAGTCTACAGGTACAATATCTGCTATACTCTTCTCATCAGCCTCTAAATATCTAATCATTCCTATTCCACAGAGTAAAAAGGTTGCCGAAAGTGCTGTTACTCCTTCCACCCATCCATATTAAGGTTATTAGACACTTGCCCCAATAATAGACGGTCTTAAAATAGTTATTGTCATATTAGGAGGTTTATATTATTCAAGTATTCTTTCAACTAAAGCCTTAGTAAAGACATATGTATTAGCATAATTTCCTAGAATACTTTTAGTTTGAATTTCCAATTCTTAGGGTGATAATTAGATTAAATTTTTGTAATCTACCATTGGATCACTGGAAGAATTATTATATATTTTCTCCTCGATAAAGCCGTCCATATTAGAATTGACATAACATGTAGAAACATGCATAAAATTTTCAAGTTTTTAGCATTTTTTGGCTACTTCAAATATTCTTAATGTACCTTAAATATTAGATTATATAGCTTCTTCTAGTTTGGCATTAAAATCAATTGAAGCTGCACAATTTATTATTATATTGCAGTTTTAAAATATATAATTTTAATCTTAAACTGAAAGTCCTACATTATCTGCTAATAAATCGCCTATGTAATATATATTCATATAAATTATTATATATATATATATATGTATATAGATATTACCTTATACTACCATTACTTTTTAAGATATATAATTATAAAAGTCTGATTTTAAAGATTATTTCATTTATATGAATATTTCGGAGTCCAAAACTTCTTTTTTAAATCTTTCTTAAGCTGTAGTTGTTTTCTTTGTTCTAATTAGTACAATTATTTTTTTAATTTAGGGCAAACTTCTTAAATATTTCTCTAAAATTACTTTTCCGAGGAAACCTGTTATTCCGGTTAAAAAAATCACTTTTTCTTAATAAAAATCTAGTACTTTAGTCATATAATTATTTGTTTTTTGTATTATAAATGTAATTAAATTATATTAAATAATTAATATTTTTTTTTTTATTTTAAATGTATTTAATAAAAAAAAAAATTAAAATTTATACATATATATATCTTCTTTTTAAATATTTTTTTTTTTAAAAATAAAAAAAAATTAATTTTATATATATATTTAATACAATACTATATCAGAATTAAAATATATATATATATTTTATAATTTATTTAATTTTAATTTTTATTTATAAACTTAAATAGAAACATACTTTTTATATATGTAATATTAAAATAAATATAGAATTTTTAATAGTAAAATAAACATAATTTTATATATATAAATTTATTTATTTTGTAGATTTAATTTATATTTTATATTTTTATTTTTATAATGTCATTTTTTTATATATTATTATATTATAATTGTTATATTTTATAATAATTTTTCTTTTTATAATATAAATATTCAAAAATGTTAAAATAATTTTATTTTTTATAAAATTGTCTTTTAATTTTTTTGGGGATAAAATTAAATAGAAATTAAGTATATTTTAAATTAAAAAAAACAAACAAATTTATTTTATAAAATAATTTTTTATTTATAATATACAAATTTGTTATATTTTTTATAAAATAAAATAAATTAATTATATTTTATTTTTATATGATTATACAATAGGTCTAAAATATTTGATAACACCAAAATTAAATAAAATATTATATATATAAAATTAACTTCATATTATAAAAATAATAATATAGGCTATTTAAAAAGACCGCGTAAATAATATAACACTTTCTACAATTTATAATAAATAAAATTAAAATATTGTTCTATTTTAAATATAATTTCAGGGTGTATAATAAATTTTTGAATTAACTATATATAATTTTTAAAAAATATATATATTCAATATTATTTAATAACAATTATTTATTTAAAATCTTAAAATAAAGCTATAATTGAATTTATTAATTAAATTAGTTTTTTTTTTTTTTTAATAGGACAATATTATAAATATTAAAATTTTAATTAATTTTTTATTTTAAATTTTAAGATAAGTATATTTATCTATTTTTAGCAATCAATTATTAGAAAATAATGATTTATTAGAATAAAATATAAAGAAGTATATATCCTATTGTAAAAAATTGAATTTTATATAATTAAATTTATATTAAAAATAAATACTTTCATTTTGTTAACTTAAAAATATTTTAAATTTTTTATTTATATTTAATATAATTTTTTAAAAAAAAAATATAAAAATAAATATGTATTCAAAATATAATAAAATATATATAACAAAATAAAAAATATAATATAAAATAAAAAATCATAGATATTATACAAATTTATTTTTATAATTAATGTTTTCTTACTAAAATTAATATTTTAATTAAATATAAATTTGTTGCTATAAATAAAAAAAAATACTCATTCTTTATTAAATTTATAGATAATATAAATAATGTATTACTATTGAATATAAAAATAAAAGATTATTGTTAAAATATATATTTAAATAAATTTAAAATAAAAAACATTATTTAAATATTATATAAGTAGAAAAATTATATAAAAAAACATCAAATCAAATTAAATAATATTATATTAATATATAGTATATAATATTGAATATTTTATACATTTTTTTAAAAAATACTAGTTTAATTCATAAAATTGAAAAAAATGAAAAAATAATAAATTTATTAAATAATAAATTTATAGTAATTTAAAGTATTTAAAAAATAAAAATATTATAAGTTAATGTGTTATTTATTAATATAAATAAATAAGAATAAAATAAATATACATATATATATATATTAATAATAAAATATATATAAATATTTAAAATTTTTATATATATTTATATATATATAAATTTATATATTTAAATATTTATATATTTTTATAATTACT